TAAAGCCGGGACATGAACAAACATGAACAGTGGTGGTGGTGATGCTAGTGATGCTGGTGACGAAAACCGGGACATTGAACAAACATGACATACGCGGAGCAACTGACAAGACACAGCCGAAACGCCACACGGTCACAGCGACATTACCTCCCTATCTATCTATCTATCTGTCTATCTACCTATCTATCTGCCTGTCTACCTCTCTATCTATCTGTCTACTTGTCTCTCTATCTTTCCAGCTTTCTATCTATCTATCTATCTATCTGTCTGTCTGTCTGTCTATCTATCTAGAGCGCGACTAACTCAACAGGGCAGCGTAGGATGCCTTGCGCGTTGCCATTCCAATGCGTTTTACCACTGCCAAGCTGCATTCCATCTTAGAAATGCGCACCGCGCGCAAGCGCCACGCATTTTTTCCAAATTGGTTGAAAGCCTTGCGCGTTGCCATTCCAATGTGTTTTACCACTGTCAAGCTACATTGCATCTTAAAAACGCGCACCGCGCGCAGGCGCCACGCATTTTTCCAAGTTAGATAAAAGCCTTGCGCGTTGCCATTCCAATGCGGTTTACCGCTGTCAAGCTACATTGCATCTTAAAAACGCGCACCGCGCGCAGGCCGCGTGCGATTTTTGAAAGTTGGAGCTTCCAAAAGTAGCCCGACCCTCTCAGGTTTTTACGATTTTGACTTCCAAATGTGCACCGCGCGCAGGCCGCGTGCGAATTTTGAAAGTTGGAGCTTCCAAAAGTAGCCCGAGCATGTAGTGTTTTTACGATTTTGACTTCCAAATGTGCACCGCGCGCAGGCCGCGTGCGATTTTTTGCCAGCAATTCCGACCAAAGGCTCCGCACCCGCCGCTTTACCGAAGTAACTTCTGGGCCGTTTGGAGGCTCAAAACATTGAAAAATACAGCATTTCGCGACCTTTCTAACATTTCGCACACCATGCTTCATCTTTCTTCATCGCTTCTTCATCTTTCTTCATCGCTTCTTCATCTCTTCTTCTCTCTCTCTCTCTCTATCTCTCGCTCTGCACTGCTCTGCTTGAGTTGTCGATATTGTCGGAAGTTAGACTTCTAAACTTCCTTCGATAAACTTAGAAACAGATGTTCATAATATTGCTATCAAATGGGGAAGGCATGCATCACCATCCGATAATGGTGATAAGGATTAAAGAGTAGACTTAACATTTTTTGCAACATTTAGTTTTAAAAGTTTAGTTTTATAATTTAGTATATATGGAAGAACATTTAGCGAACATTGACAGTAGTTTAGAGTTGTTGTTTCCAAGATTAGAAAAAGTGTTGGAGCAAAATGAAAACATATTGAACATCTTAAAGAGCATGAATATTAAACCTACATCTAATAACAATAACAATTACCAAGAAAAAGAAGTAGATAGAGACAGTAGCGAATACAAAAATAAACGAAACATTTATGTTAAAAAACTGAATGAAAAATCATAAAAGAACCTAAACAATCAAGTCTGGATTACTATCAAGTCAAGTATAAAGAAGATACCAAGAAATACGTTTAATCATTAACTAACAAAGTTTCGTGTCTCAAAAGCGGTTTGCTTATTCCTGCTACTTTGTAAGTTTTATTACCCATAATATCATATTCAATTTTATCAATATTGAAAATTTTATTAGACCATTTAGAGTTATACTCCTTTCTGTCGGTGTAATTACCCCTTTTCTTTTGAAACACTTTTACCTTGTCGTTCTCCTCTATTCTGGGATACTTTCTTTTGTTTTTTCTCGTAGTTTAAGATTGACCTTTACATATATTTCATTGTCGTCCTTGTGTGCTTCAGACGGTGTCATCCTTGTTGATGAGTGTGATGTGCTGTTATACTGTTTCAATGCTGGCGTTAGGGCGTCGGTCCATTTCATGTTGTTAAACCTAACTCTATCGTGAATTTTGTTTTTCATCGTTCTAATAAAACGCTCGGCCACATTTGCGTGGGTCTTCGTGACGATGTGGTTTATTTTTTCACTGTTGAAGAAATCCTGAACTTGATTTTTAGTTGCAAACGCTCCGTCGTCATCAGAATACACGGACATCGGATAACCCATCTTTTTAAAGCTTGCTCTCAACGCCTTCAAAACGTGCTCTCCGTCTCTTTCCTCCATCGGTATTACATCTGCTAATTTACTGAAGATGTCAATCACGACTAAGCATACTGTGGAACGTTCTTGTCCTTTGCTAAAGGTGACATATGCATTATGTCTATTTGATATTCATATCGTGCGAATGCAGCGGTATAGGAATTAGTACCTCTATAATTTTTGATTTGTTTATTTGGTTGTTTCTTTAAGAAAGACTTTACATCGTCTAATGTTATTGTTGGGTCTTCTTCCCTTGCCTTCTTGTGTGTCGCTTGTGTGCTTCCGAAACCCACGTCTAAGTCGTAATAGATGTTGCTGATTATTTGGTCTTTTGTTAATCTCGCCATTATATTAAATTGTTAGAAAATATTTTTTCAATATAAACCCCCACCCCTTAACATAAAATAAAAACTACTTAAAGAAAATTGATATAATATAGTAAGAGAAAAAATGACACTGTTTACTTATGATAATTGTCCTTGTAAAAATAAAAAATGTAAGTCTGTCGTGGCACTAGCTAATATTTTACATGTTAATGTGTGTAATCTTATAGGTGGCTATATTAGAGTAACATGTTTTGATTGCTGGTATTTGATGGATGAAGAAGAACATTTTATGAGAGATAAAGACATTCCTGAAGAAGGACTGGAAAAAGCAGAACTTCAATTACAAGTTATTAAACTAATGCAAAATAATGTTTTTACACTACTAGCAGAAAACCAATATAGTATAAAAGTTGGACATTACAGAAAACACATTGACCGAGTATTTGATATACAAGAAGTTAAAGAACGGTTTAAAAATAGAAAAATGTATTATCAAGCATTAAAATCATACTGTAAGAATAATGAAAATGAAGTTTGTATCATTTTAAGAAAATGTCTTGACATTGAAGATTTAAAAAAATTTAAACGTTGTGGGTTTAGCTTTCCAAAACTAAACAGTTGGTGGTCATATAGAAATAACAATTATTATATGAGATATATTCTTAGCGAATTAATTGAAATTTACACAGACCAATTAATAAACGGATACGAGCATTATTGTTGCGAGTATAGTATGACTTGTTATAGTGGTTGTATCGCTGGTGAGATTGAATACGGGGCAAATTAACTTTTGTTTATTAATATATTATTATCTTATAATATGATTAAACATTGTTTTATAATCTAACAAGAAGGTTAAGACATTTAAATTAAACCTGATTAAATTAAACCTGAAACCCAGACCAGCCGACCAGCAACCCCCTAGCCAAAACTACTTAAAGAAACATTACATTATATATAAAGAGAAAAATGAGTGAGGGTAAAATGTCAGATAATAATTTTATGGTTGAGAATTGTGCTAGCTTACCTATGGAAGCATTGTTAAACATCGCTTCTTATATGATTGGCAATGAAGGGTGGCAAAGACTAAAACAGTGTAAAGCATTAAGGGTCTTACAAAGGAAATGGAAACCGTCTATTTTTGAACGAGAAGGAGAAAGTAGATATTATGTGTTGATTAGCAATATATGTTTGAAAGGTGATAAAGCACTTTCATATGCGTTGAAACCACCAAAAGAATTATTAAGAATGATGAAGTATGATGAAGAAATAAAGGTTGGAATAGAAGTTAGTTCGAAAATTATGTATAAGAATAATATTTGCAACTGTAGTTATTATGCATCAAGCAAACAGAACAAGATAACAAGTAGAGCGTCATTACAATTTTATATTGAAAAAATAGTTGAAGAAATAAAACAGACTATGAAACGAAACGAAATCATTAGTATAGAACATATTACAGATTGAAATTTATACATAACAGAAACAATGATTTCATGGCTTAATCATAATATTGAATTATAATATGATTAAACATTGCTTTATAATCTAACAAGAAGGTTAAGACATTTAAATTAATCCTGAAACCCAGACCAGCCGACCAGCAACCCCCTAGCCAAAACTATTTAAAGAAATATTACCTTATATATTAAGAGGAAAATGAACGGTGATGGAATCAATAATTATATCAATAAAAAATGCTATGATTGTTGTCACTTCAAAAAAGAAAATATGGAATTGTATAAATTTGGAATTTACCTAATGAAATAGTGAATAATATTATTAATTATTCAATGGATGAAGAAGACGAATGAAAAGTTTGTCAGGAATGGAGAGATAATCAATTTTTAATCAAATGTCTGTTGAGAATAAAAGGAAGACATAATAGAAATGTAGAAGATGATATGTTAATATTTCTAACTGTAAATAAAATACCACCTTACGATTATGTTAAACAGTTTCTTAAAATCAGTAAGAAAAATATGACATGATTTATGATATATTATGGATGTTGGGTTATAGTCAAGAGAAAGGAGAAGATGTTAAAGAAAATATCAAATTATTTATTGAAAGTAAAAAGTTTAATGTTCAGAATACAGTGAGAGATGTTAATATTATTTTTAAAATGATGTATGAAAGAAGTAAGACAAATCAATTAAATTATTACCCTGAACTGAAATTATAATCATAATATAATAATAACATGTAAAATCTTATATGTTATAATTATACTGAACTTTTAACCTATAAATCAAAATTAGTGAGAAAACACCAACAAAACAAATACACCACCAACATCCCAGAACTTGATAACTACTAAAAGGGTTAACTCTTTCAAATGAAAAACATGTCGGCCCCCAGCCCAACAATGAACAAGGCGACAATTTACCCAAATGATTACCTTAACGAAAACGATATATAAGCTCCCCGAAACACCCCTTTTAAAAACGAATAAGGGGGAACACAGATTTGAGATTAACATAAAAACCAGAACAGGCAACCATCAACAGGCCACCCCCTGGCTAGCCCCTTTTTACAATTTTTTCCCCCGCCCCCCCCCCCGAGCCGCCGAGGAAGAGCTGGCGGGCCCGGAGCCTCCGAGGCATCTGGGGGGAGGCGCTGAGATCCATCTCCGCTCTAATCGGGACCCAAACCAGACATGCCCGGAGAAGTCCCCAGCCTTTGAAATCGCCTCGCAACCTGACAAAAACTCCACAGAGAAAATCGCCCTGCAAGAGACTTCTCTAGACTCTACTCTTTCAAATACTCAGACGTGGCCCTCTGGAAAAGGAGGTTTCTCTTTCACGGGAGAGATCATCAGACCCCAATATTCGCTTTGCGAGTGCAGTGCACACGCACT